AACACGCCTTGTTGCGAAGCCTTGGAGACCACACGCAACCTGGATTATGACGTAGCGGTGGCGTCAGGTAGAAGGACATGAAAAACAAGGCCATCCTAGCGAAGTCTGGCGCAAAATAAAAAAAAAGAACTAAACATGAAGAATGACGACGGGATTTGCATGTTGCACAACCTTTTCATCAAACAGATGCCAAATTGGATGTGTTTACATTCTATTCTCAGAAAAATTATTATTCTCAAACCTGAAGATGGAATTCCTTGCTTTGATTCAATGCTTTGATGTCGAGAGATTCACTTTGTATGCCAAAATATTCGGCGAACTTTGGACGTTTTTCGATCAGCGTTTGCAGAATCTTCTTCCCAACGTTATTGTTCTTCGCCCTGAATAGGTGATTATGAGACAATACATTGTAGCTTTTAAAAAATTGCAGATTTGGTTTTTTTGGGAAGAATTCGCCTACTGGCTCTGCTAGGAAAATTCCTTCTTCCAAATGCGCACAATCCATGTTGTTGAGGGAACAGTGAGACCAGTGCTTAATTCGCCCAATGGATTTTCGTTCCAATTCGGGGATGGAAGACTTGGCTGGCCTATGACTTGAGTCGAGTTTGCCTCCCTATTCGTGTGGCTGGCAGTTGCGCCACCCCCACCCGAAACTGATCATTGAAGCGAGTGCGAGCTCATCCTTCCCTAAGAGGTCAGATATGATGTGCGATTCCTTTTCTAGGAAAACCAGCAGTGTAAGTATCATAAAACCTTAACAGAAATATGTACATTGAATATCATCAGCAGGCTTTTTTTATAGCGTACCGTGCAGCTGCGCGAAAAAGAGCTGGCCTTGAAACATCCCTTGTGACTCTTCAAGAATTTCCTAACGGCGGGGCAAGCTGCCTATTAGAATTCAGATGACGCAGCAGGACTTGGTCGTCGAGATGCAAAAGGTCATTGGAACTTGGAAGCTATCGCGTGACGGCTTCTAAATTGTCGCAGACTCTGAGGGGGAAATTAGTGTTAACTTATCAAGCAGAATGCTCAAAGCCCGGATCTGCAGAGTCAAAATACGTTGAGGTGGGCACTATCTAAGGCCAGTACCTGAACTCGAAGGGTGGTTTGAAGACACATTATGAGACTGCATAACAGCGGGTTGTAGCGTTTCAAAAAATAGTGATTGGCAGAAAACAAAAAATTCTGTTCTCGAGCGCCGGAACTTTCTGTAATTTCCACCGGGAAAAAATGGAAATGCCCCATGTAAATCGCTGAAGTTAACAGTGGTTTCCTTAGATGGTTTGAGTTGAAAGATCGTAATAGAATCTCTTAACGTGCTCTCTATTTCGAAAAACGGGAAGAGCATCGAATGCAGACCACACACCTAGAAGTGACGACGGCCAAAAAAAGACGAAAAAGCCACTTTTTTCTTAGCCGTCGTCGTGGTCTGTCCTCGACGCTCTTCTCTTTCTCCGACATAAAGATAGACACTCGTGTACGTACTTTATCCAAACGTCTCGGATAGCTTCGATTTCGTCACTTGAGAGCTCGGTTGTGTATCGTTTCTTCGACGCGCACAAGCCCATCGTCTGAAGCAAAAATTCCAAGGTTTATTATAGCAGAAACGAGAAGGTAGTAGTCGGAGCTCATAAGCAGGAGACATTTGAATCGACTCCAATGGTTAGGCTAGTTGGCCTTTGCCTCTCCACACGTTTTGCACCATGATAAGTCCATCTACTTCTCTGTTTTGTATGTTAACTGCTGTTTTGACGCTGCAGATCGCGTTACGAATGTTTCACAAGAATGCAGAGTTATGAACAAAACATTTTGCCTGGGCCGCTGCCACTGCACTATCTCGCTTCATAACTACGTTCAGAGAATCGTTTCGCAGATTTGGAGAGCAGATTCGAGATCAGCGTCCAAAAACACATCTAGTGGTGTATAACTCGTTACAAATGGCCACTTCGACCTGGTATCCTTCCCTTGTGAGATTACTGACTCACAGATATCAAGAATATCCGCCGTGACGATAAGAGGGTGGTGTCGTAGGCAGAGTCAACCATCCGTTGTGGTCATGAAGGATACATTCATGAAGGATATGTGGGCAAGCGTTGTTAAAGTAATCATGCAAAATGTCTTTGTGGCTCTGTTGGATAACGTGTACAATAGCTTCACTGCCTCGCAAATTAGGAGTCTATCTGAAGAATTTGCTAAAGATCCGCGTAATATAAATGTTTCTGAGAAATTTCTGATGAAAAAATGTGCCTGATAAAAATGGGTATCAATACGAACCTGCTTTCGGAAACAAAGGCCTTCATTTTCTGGAAACATGGATCACTTTTTTGCCGGTGTTACAGACTTCTAATTTTGTTTCAATCATAAAAACTATTGCAAATTGGGTTTCCAGGTTTCGCAAATTGGCAAGTGCCCCCTTCTCAGTAAATTATGAGAAAGAAAATTCGCGTGTTTTCTGAATGGAAGTTGGTGTTAATACCCGAACTCTATTTTTCTTGAGCGCATTTTTTTCTTCGAAGACTTTTTCAAGAGCATCCTACCAATGCGAATCCAGGAGCACTTCAGATGAAACAAGAAAGTCGGGTCATGAATAAAACTTCCCAAGCGAGACTCGGAACCCGCCCTTCTCGCTTACAAGCGCGCTAAAAATTAGGCTGCGGGGGCACACTTCCGCCTCAACTCCAAACGGTGCCTTGGTAGTGTAACTTGTAGCACACTTGCCCGGTAAGCAAGTGGTGTGTGGGGTTTAAGTATCGCCTTTAGGCAAAATGTTCTTTCATAACTCTGCATTCTTGTGAAACATTCGTAACGCGATCTGCAGCGTCAAAACAGCAGTTAATATACAAAACAGAGAAGTAGATGGACTTATCATGGTGCAAAACGTGTGGAGAGGCAAAGGCCAACTAGCCTAACCATTGGAGTCGATTCAAATGTCTCCTGCTTATGAGCTCCGACTACAACCTTCTCGTTTCTGCTATAATAAACCTTGGAATTTTGCTAGCACGATGGGCTTGTGCGCGTCGAAGAAACGATACACAACCGAGCTCTCAAGTGACGAAATCGAAGCTATCCGAGACGTTTGGATAAAGTACGTACACCAAGTATGTCATATCTTTATGTCGGAGAAAGAGAAGAGCGTCGAGGAGACCATACACGACGACGGCTAAGAAAAAAGTGGCTTTTTCGTCTTTTTTTGGCCGTCGTCACTTCTAGTGTGTGGTCCGCATTCGATGCTCTTCCCGTTTTTCGACATAGAGAGCACGTTAAGAGATTCTATTACGATCTTTCAACTCAAACCATCTAAGAAAACCAATGTTAACTTCAGCGATTACATGGGGCATTCAATTTTTCCCGGTGGAAATAGAACAGTATTTTTTGTTTTCTGCCAATCACTATTTTTTGAAACGCTTCAACCCCCTATTATGCAGTCTCATAATGTGTTTTCAAATCACCCTTCGGTCAGGTACTGGCCTTAGATAGTGCCCACCTCAACGTATTTTGACTCTGCAGATCCGGGCTTTGTGCATTCTGCTTGATAAGTTAACACTAATTTCCCCCTCAGAGTCTGCGACAATTTAGAAGCCGTCACGCGATAGCTGTTCAGATTCCAATGACCTTTTGCATCTCGACGACCAAGTCCTGCTGCGTCATCTGAATTCTAATAGGCAGCTTGCCCCCGCCGTTAGGAAATTCTTGAAGAGTCACAAGGGATGTTTCAAAGGCCAGCTCTTTTTCGCGCAGCTGCACGGTCCGCTATAAAAAAAAGCCTGCTGCTGATATTTGATGTATTTCTGTTAAGGTTTTATGATACTTACACTGCTGGTTTTCCTCAAAAAAGAATCGCACATCATGTCTGACCTCTAAGGGAAGGATGAGCTCGCACTCGCTTCAATGATCAGTTTCGGGTGGGGCTGGTGGTGCAACTGCCACCCACACGAATAGGAGTAGGCCGCCAAGTCTTCCATCCCCGAATAGGAACGAAAATCCATTGGGCCAATTAAGCTTTGGTATTACTGTTCCCTTCAACAACATGGATTGGTGCGCATTTGGAGAAGGAATTTTCCTAGCAGAAGCCAGTAGGCGAATTCTTCCCAAAAAAAAACTAAATATGCAATTTTCTAAAAGTTACAATGTATTGTCTCATAATCACCTATTCAGGGCGAAGAACAATAACGTTGGGAAGAAGATTCTGCAAACGCTGATCGAAAAACGCCCAAAGTTCGCCGAATACTTTGGCATACAAAGTGAATCTCTCGACATCAAAGCATTGAATCAAGCAAGGAATTCCATCTCCAGGTTCGAGAATAACAAAAAATTTAATTTTCTAATAATAATTTAATTAATTTTATAATAATTTTTCTGAGAATAGAATGTAAACACATCTAATTTGGCATCTGTTTGATGAAAAGGTTGTGCAACATGCAAATCCCGTCGTCATTCTTCATGTTTAGTTCTTTTTTTTTATTTTGCGCCAAGCTTCGCTAGGATGGCCTTGTTTTTCATGTCCTTCTACCTGATGCCAACGCTACGTCATAAGTCCAGGTTGCGTGTGGTCTCCAAGGTTCGCAACAGGGCGTGTTGACCAAAAGGTGGACGGACCAAAGTTGGTACGAGCGCGTTGTAGCCTCTTTCAAGGGCACTCTTTGCTCCAGCAACACTTCAGATGTGTTCGACTATGGTTCGTGCATTCTATCACCAGATTAGTTGCAGTTTTGTGGACCCCTCTGGTGTTGCTGCTTTGATACACTGAATTCACTGAAATAAGAAGTAAATAAGTGAATTCGGTGTTGAAGACTTCTGCAGCGAATTGTCCACCGTCCCGTTCCTTAGGGCGTTTGTCATGCTTTGCGCATCCATGGAATGCGGGGGCATTCGAGGGTTCGCGCAATGCGCTAACGGTTTCGACCGATGCACCAGCAACGTTAGTCGCTGGTTCGGTGGCTCACTGCTCATACCGCTCGAAGCTAGCTGAACGTCCAATTCGCAAATGACATCACGGATCGGCAAAGTCTTCCACCAGCAGGTGATATGCCTCTCTTCCACTTCATCGACCGCTATTTTATCTTGAAAATTTTTCTTTGAGTTCCAGTGTGGCATTTACGGTTGGCTTAGGGGCCCCTTTCTGATGCGAGACGTCCAAGGCAGATTTGACCAAATGGCCCCTAAGATATGAATATTTGAATGGCTTGGAAAGGTTATTATCCCAAAACTGCACCGCTGTCCTCTGTCCAGAGGTGGGTTCACGATTAAAAAGGCGCGCCGTAGAAATTGAGGTAGAGGTGGTCAGTGCTGCCAGAAGAAAGAATCAAGAAAAACGTTCTAGGAGCCGGGATATGGGTTTCCTTTTGGTCCGTTGAATTCCTCAGTAGACCAAGCCTTTCTGTGCGATCGCTGCGTTCTGCGTCTCTGGATCTTCATCTTTTTTTCATCTTATGGCCGTGGAGTTCATGCGCCAGAGTCCGCGACGAGGGGATAGCCAGGCCCCGCGGGGCGCGGCCATACGGTCCTACGGATTCGCTGGAGCATTCTCATAGCTGCGTAACGCTCATAGTTACCACTCTTGGAAGGCCCCACCTGCCTTTCAACTAGGTATACTTCCTCTTCTTCGACCTCCTGCCTTATCGTGGATCACTATTTCAAATAAGGCAATTGAGAACTGTTTCGTCGTCGAGTGCGAGAAACATAGCTGGTTTTATACGAAGTTATTACAAACTTTCTTGACACTGCAGTCGGGTCGCTGGGATTTTGTCCGATATCCAGCGTTTACGACATGGCTCATCGAATTGGTCAAATACACTTTTACAGGTAAGCTAATGATATTCATTATCTTCGCAATTCAGCAGCCCAAACTTTCCTCGAATTATTTGAACCTCCACTTCTCTGAGTTGTGTCGCTTGGCCGATTTGCATAAGCGAGACACAGGTTACTATCACCATATAATGAAAGCTGCTTTTCGTTATCAGTCTGGTAAGCTTATTCACTCTAACAGTGTGTAGCCGAAAAGGAGGAAGCTGCGTGGAACCATTTCAATTGTTTTCAGCACAATTATAATGGATGATAAGTTTGAAAGCAGTCCCGCAACCGATCATTCATCCGCAATGCCGATCATTCGAAGCAAGGCACAACTTTTGCTGGCCGGAGAAAAATGCCAGTTTAGTCCGCATTTGATATATAACCACTTTGAGACATGAGTTACACGGTTAGGCGTCAAGGAGCCCAACGATGCGCACGGAACTCCACCCAACACCCGAGCTTTCGTCCATTGATGGAGAGGTTGCCATGTGGCTGAGGGAGCTTACAGTTGGTCACGATATTAACCCTTTGACTAGCACTGGTACATAGTACACCACACCCTAAGTCAGCGACTCTACCACACTTTTGGGCGTTATTGCTGCTGTAGCCGCTTTTTAGATCGCGAATTTGTGCACATAATTAGAGAATCTGTAAGTATCTTCCTCTACGACAATTCGTTCATAAGTCAAAAGCGAGTTTACCGTACATAAGTTTTATAAAAAAGGCTCGCCAACGCAGGTCAATGAGTTCCCAAAAAGGTGTTTTTCAACCACGGACCCTCCTAATTGGTTATTGCGCTAATGGTTGTGGTGACTTTCCAAATTATTGCATCAATTGCAACATAAGGAAACGAACTAAGTTAACATCGTATAAGCATTTTATATCGTCGAAACCGGTCAGTCACCCGCCGTTCTACGACAGGTTGGAGATTTCAGCCTCTGTGATTCTATCAGTTCCGATGGTGGGGAAGTGGAATCAGGAGACTTCTATAATGAATTTGGCTTCTAAGAATAGAAGACTACGAAGTTCCGTAGTGCAGAAGGAGCCAATGAGCCCAATGCGTTTCTGCAGAGTGAGGCTCGCAATTCCTTCGAGTGTGTCCCTAATCGGACATTGGCTTTGTTCCATGAATGAAATGTGAATGGTGATTGAACTGCCAAATTATATATTCAAATTGTACATTCTAAAGTAGATGGTGTGGTGAAAAGATGGGTCGCCACCGCGCGCACGGTCCCTGGATCAAATCTCAGGTTAGATTATAGTGTGCGTTCGCAAAATTTCTATTGATGATCTGTTCTTGCTATTGAGCGATAACCACTGATGCAAAACACATCGATAACTCATTTTAAAAAAAGTAGTAGTCTAACGGTCAAATGGCTGGAATTTCAGCAACATATGCGCCTCCAGCGAGGCAATCCCTCCTATCCAGGTGCTTTATTCGGTAACACTAACGCTCAGGTGCAACCGAATACAGACTCTCAGGATTGGGACCTCTTATTCGCCCGTTGATTTCCGCACTCTCATCGGTGCTGCTTTCTTCAACACTAACGCTTGCTGCGCTAAAAAGCTAAAGGCTTAACC